AATATCGTAATTATCATCGAAATTTTGTGAATTTTTAATATATTAATGTGATAAATATATATAATATATAATAACGGGAAATAATAAATTATTTAAATATATATATGTATGTGTATATATATATATATATATTGAAGATGAGGGTGTCGATCGTGGAGAATCTGATATGGAAGATGACAACGACGATTTCAATCAACAAAACTTCGATGACACTGATGTGCTAGAAGAAATGGATAATAAAAGTGACGAAGATAATGATAATATTAACGAAAACGATAATAACGATGATAATGAAGTCGAGGATAGTATATTAAAAAAAGACAGGAATAATTATTACGTTAGTAAAGAAATTGTTGATGAAGTTTCCGATGAACGACAAGAAGAAGATGAGGTGTTTGAGGAATTTGTTGCTATACCAGGTGTACTAGAAGTGGACGATTATAGTGCTGAACCTTTGGAAGAGGTATATAAAATAATTTATATGTTATACAAGGTATCCCAGTTTTTTTTTCTTCTGCCATATTTTACCAGCATACACGTGCAATGCATTCCCATCTTTTTTCTTTGATCTTTTTGATCGTTGGTAGTTTACATTGCATGCATCCCATGTTATATGCCTGTCTTTATAGAACAAAATATTATATTATTCTGTTTTTTGTTTGTTTGTTAAATTACACATACGTATATAATAATTTTAAATAGAACAAAAAGAAATGCGAATTTATTGTTGCGGGTCCTGAAATGAAATATTTCAAAATTTTGTTTCTCTCGCGTTGATTGTTATAATAATAATAATAATTAATATTATTAAAAACAAAAGAAAGAAAAGAGAAATGTTCAGTATCGAATATCTTAACGTTAGGTAGAGGATGGTGAACCTGAAGAAGATGTAAATGATATAGACATTGAACCGGAAGTTGAAGAAATAGAAGAAGAAGAAGAAGAATCTACTAGTGGTAAGTTTCATATACAGAATGTATATTTAATATGTATTATATTTGGGAGGGGGAAAGGTCAGTATTTTGTTTAATAATTAATGCGTAAGTAATAATATATAATGTTAGATGAATGGTCAATAATATGGTATAAATATTTTCTTTAAAAAATAATTATAAATGTCAAAATAAAAGATCAAATGTATTTTTGTTTAAATTCGTAAATTTTGATGCGTTGAAGATTGTTACAATTGATACATTGTTATTATATGTTATTAAAAGTATTGACCATTTATTTAATATATTGATTAAACAAAATATTTAAAAATACTGACCCGATAAAATAGCAACCCTTGGGATACTACCTATTTCAAATATTAAAGGTTCATATGTTATATATCAGGAATAATAATCCTCCATGCTCTTTAATTTTTAAATGGTAACAAGATAAATTATTCATAAAAACAAAACAAAACAATTACAATTTCAGCGTTTATCGAAACATATGTATTATGCATTTATGTATGTGTTCGACGACGAAAACAAATTAAATGAAAAAATATAAAAACAAAAAAGAAAAATGGAAATACAATGTATACAGAAATACAATGTATACAGAAATACAATGTATAATGGTTACAGTGCCAGTGAAGTTCGGAGTTGGTGTTGCACTTATCATTGCCGCACATTTTGTTCTCGTTAGGCGATGGAACAACGGTAAATTTAATTATATATTTTATCTACGTTCGTATATATTTTTTTTTTTATCGTTATTAGCTATAAATAATAATTACATAAATAAATCGTAGCAGTACGTATAAATTATAACGAAAAAATGTTATAACACTTTAATGTTTTTAATTAATTCGTATGTATGTATGTATGTATGTAATATTACGTATTACAAATTTCTAATCTTTCGTTATTTCGTTTATGATCGTAAGTATAATTGCAGGTGTTTTTGTTGTTTAACTTCTGTTCTTTTCTTTTTTTTTTATATTCCTAAGCATGTAACACACATCTGTGATTGCAATTATACTAATTGTTTAGAATAATGTTTAACATTTTTTCATTATAGCATGCTTTAACGTAAGTATTGTTACATATAAATTCGTTTTTTCTTTTAAGTGCGTATCGTTGCATGATATACGACCCTCTTGTATGGGTAGAATTTAGTAACGCGAAAAGGTTAATTAAGAAATAATATATCTTTATAAATTATAGATCTTATAAATATAAATAATACCAATTTAGGTAAGTAAATGTAAAATATCATATATATATGTGTATATATATTTCGTTGTTGATTAAACCATTAGAATATTTTTCAAAATTAATTTGTTAAACGTGTATTATTTAGAAACTTGTAAATATATTTTCAGCCGATGCCGAATTAATTCAACTTTCCCATAACGATGAAGTGATTAATCTAACCAGACGGAATACTATAATAGTTCCACCCTCGGTTAAAGAAACTGGAACATTAAAAACTGAGGATGACAAGCAAACGATTACGCCAAAGAAGAAACAAACTTATGAGACCTTACGATCGCAATATGAAAAATTAAAAAACGAAGATATACCGAAAAATGTTTCGCTGGAAAATACTTCGAATCAATTGGAAGAAGAAACTTTGGCTGCGCGTAAAATACAAGGTAAAATTATTCGCGTATATTAAATAACTGAGAAAGTTTCGTGCCGGTTTAAACAAATATCTGACCACGTAAAGATACTTTGTTCTTACACTACTTAACAATGTCTGACCACGTAGGGATACTTTGTTCTTACACTACTTAAAAATATTGACCATTGAGGATACTTTTATTTCTTACACTACTTAAAAAATGTCTGACCATCTAATAGGTTTCTCTGTTTTTACTACTTAATCAATAAGATATAAATTTTGGATTACGGCACGAACTTATTTAGTTACTTAATATAAAAAATAAAATAATATAACGTGTTACGAATGAACATTTGTATTATAAAATGATTAATTATAATATTTTGCGAGTTTTAGGGGTTGATAAGGTAAAAGAGAAACAACGATCGAAAGTTATGTCATCCGAAGAAGAAACGGAAGATGTTGATGATGAATTAGAGACATCAGAGGGAGAACGTGTTTCTGGTGGTGAAGAATACGAGGAAGAGGAAGATGAAGAACAAGAAGAAGAAGAAGAAGAATTGGAAGATGAAGAAGAAGAAATAGAAGATGTCGATGATTCGGAATTGGTGGCCAGATTAGAGGCAAAATATGGTAAATTGGCAACTCCGCAAGACAGCGAGCTTGAGGATGAAATAGAAGATGAGGAAGAAATTGAAGATGATTACGAAGAGGAAGAAGAAGAAGAGGAAATAGAAGACGAGGACGTAACAGGATGGAAACGTAAATAATAAATCATATTCAAAATTGTATGTCGTTCTAAATCCCTGATCAGTCTGTTAATAATTCAATGAAATTTTCACGTATTTTCGTCGTTATATACATTATTTAATTATTTACTCAGTTCTGTTTTATTTTCATTCCAATGATTTCATTAAATAAATCATATTTATTTTAAGTATCGTATAAAATAATAATGTAATAAGCTTTTTTGCTATTACGTGATGACAAGTATCATCGGTTTCGTATATTTTACATTGAGCATGGAGGATCATTTATATTTTGAGCTTTTATTAATATTCATTGAATGCTTTTACGTGTATCATTATCTCCAATATTTTTCACAAAAAGAAAATCTTCACACGTCGAGAGACAGATTTTAATTAAATCCTGTTTGCATTGTTTTTTTCTTTTAATAAATGTCAATCAATAATTAATTTAATGATACATTAGAGCTTTTATATGTATATATCATCGAGCTGTATATTAATAATAATTGAAAAATATATTCATAAATTGATTATATTAATATTCTTTTTTTTTTTTTTTTTTTATCGACAGGTATAAAAGCACCTAAGGAACCAATAGGACCATCTAAATTTGTACCTGCAACTATCGATAAATCTGGGATTAGTTCTAAGCAAGGAGTTTCTACATCCAAGGGTGGTAAATCAATAAATGATTTTCGAAATCTATCAAGCCTGGATGATTTAACAATATACGAAGAAAGAGAAATACCTCTGGTTGGTAATATTTAATTATAAATTATAAAAATGCTAATGAAAGTTAATTAAATAATTTCTATTTATCTTGTTTATAGGAAATTGATGATTAAAGTTTCACCCTCTAATCCTTCTTTTAGCATTGTCCACTTATTTTCCATCGATCATTTTCATGTGTTTATATATATACATATATATACACATATACATAGACATACCAATTATTTTACAATTGACTAATATTTTATTATTTAAAAAAATATATTATCTCCATATGAAAATGAATAATACGAATTATGATTTCTTATAATTTTAAACGCGCGAGAAGATTACATAACAAATATTTCATAGCGATTACCCATTCCCATTAATCTCTTCCTAATGTTAGAAGGTGAAAGAAGAATAATTAGAAGAAAATAATTAACGATACAACAATTTAAATGGCAGGATTAAAAAACAATAGGGAAATGATGACATGATTTCAATCAAAATGTGTATTTTCATCGGGAGATTTTAAGAAGTGATTTTAATCGTGACATCATTAGGTAAGATTATATTAATTATATATATATATATATATATAATATATATCAATTGAAATCAAATAATATTTTTCTGAGTTCAAATTAAGTAGATATTATTATATATATATATATATATATGTATATATGTATATATGTATATATATCAGATTTTTAACATTTAATTATTGGGTCTAATAATAAGTAACTTTACTATTTAGATTATTTAATATATCTAAATAAAAAAGGATAGTATTCTTTATATTTTTGTTTTTTTCTTTTTCTAAAAACTGAGTTCTAAATCAACAGAATATTATACTACATGCAGCATTATATTGGCCAATAAATAAGGTCGGAATTTTAATTAACAAATGTTATATATAATGTTTGTTTAAATATTAAAATAATACAAATTCGGACATTATTGATTGGCCAATTAACTTAATAAAAATGTTACTTTAAATAAACATCGTATAACATATTAATTAATTTAATTATTGTTGTTTTATACGATATATCCATTAGCGATGCTCCTAATATTTCGTAAAATCGTTTTATATATATTTTATCAATGAAAGCTGAATTATTTTTTATTACAACTAGAAATATGTACATGTATATAAGTAAATACATCTTATAACCACATATTTGAGGTATAACAATTTTCCTTTTCTTGCTTTTAATTATGATAAAGATAATTTATATTTATTTTTGTTTTCATTTTTTTTGTATATATATATATATTTTTTTTTTTTTTTTTCTTTTATTTTCTTTTTTGTACTAAGAGAAATAAAAAAGCAATGAAATATTTCTATTACCTTTTGAGCATCATGATCTCTATATAGACACGGAGAAAATGGGGGATTAAATTGACAGATTTGGAATCTAAAAGAAATAATTTTTCGTAAAAGATATATATATCACATATTTTTAAAAAAAAGAAAACATAAATAATTACCTTATGCAGCAAATATCTTAACGTCATATGTAATATAATGGAGATATGGTATATAAAATACTAAAGTTTGAAACCTTACAATTAGAGGATTTTTTTTTTTGTTTACTTAAGAGTGTAGTATTAAAATATCTGTCGTTAATATTTTTTAGTAAAATATTGGAGAATTCTTGTTATGTAAGACCTATTAGAGTAATGTAAAATTGCATATAATTATACATACATTTATATATTTATATTTATAATATCATTATATATATATATTATATATATATAAATATATATATGTATATTTGTAACTTATGATTCTTTTACAGTCAACATAACGGATTATAAGCATTAAGTAATCGAATTAATACTTATGCTTATGTCTGTGTTTGCGTGGAGAAGGTGAAGGTGGACTATTAGCTCTATGTTTAGAAGAGGAAGAAGAAGTACGAGGTGGTGGTGGAGGTGATAAGGATGGTGATCTAGCAGTACGTCTTTTTCTATCGTTACGTTCACTGCCTGGTGATCTTCTTGACGATGTTCTAGATGAAGAAAGTGATGGTGATGGGGTACGACGAATACGAGGTGGTGATGGAGTCACTGGTACACGCTTTTTATATGGTGGTGATCGTGATCTACGTTTATTACGCGGTGATCTGCTGCGAGATCTAAAACATTATAAATCCTCATTAATTAATTTGTCATATATATATATATTTTTGTTTTGTCGTTGATGAATGTTATATTCGATTTTAGTTAATGCTTGTTAAATATTAGTCTGTGTTATTTTAGAAAAAAAAAAGAAACATAAGGAGATTGTTACACGAGATTTATAATTATATTGTTTTATTATTTCAATATATTTGTCTAGCATCTCATTTTTATATCGTTCAATAAATGCAATAGTTTTTCGAATCCTGCGATACATGTATATATGTATATATATATATATATATACATATATATAATTATATTAATATTTTGAAATCTAGCAAATAAATATAGATAATACGAAGAATAAATTTAAATATTAATCGATAATGTAAATATAATAAAATAATATATGTATAGATATTTTCTTAATGTTTTCCGTCTTTTTATTTAAATAATAATTAAATGAATTTTAAATAAAACTTTTATTTTCTTAAATAAACACACTCTCTTACCTGTATTTATTGCTCTTAAATAAGGGACTTGACGATCTTCTTCGATCTCTGTAATGACTTGGAGATTCTGGTGTTGTACTGCGTTTCTTTTCCCTCCTTCTATCGTCTTCTCGGTCATCAGTTTTCAGGTCCTTCATTTCTCTTTCGCTCTATAATGTTAACATATACATATATATTAATAATAAATTTATATTTAAAGCATTAATATAAAAGAAAATATAAAGAAAATAATAATACCTTTCTTATTAATTTTTTCCTGTAATGTTCAACTTGTCCTTGAATAGTCATACCAGATTTTAATGTTCTCCTACCACTTTCAAGTTCATCTTGATATTGCATAGTTTTAACTTCTATTTCACGTAACCTATTACGCCTTTCTTCATTGTAATCTCTACTACTATAGACATATACAGTGTTTGATGAATATATAACTTTAAATTCTCAACATATTTTCAGTTTAATCTTTTGAAACGTTCGCGATACTTGGACCATGCTGTTACCTTAGGGTGTATATATTACCTGGAATCCATACTAGCATCTTGAGAATTTGAATCGTCATTTTGACCTAATTCTTCCCACTTGCTAGTAGTCATAGCTTGTGCTTCAACCTAATATTTAAATGAAAAGTACACATTTATAATTGTATTTTTAATATTTCATATATTTTTCTCTACGTAATATAAAAGAAGAAACCAATTAATATATTTATATGTATGCTTGTATATACAAAGAATTTTTATAAACCTGGTCTGGGTCCACAGTTTCCCATCTCGAAGGTACAAAACCAGCCGGCATTGCTGGTTTCTTTTCGTCTTCTTTATTACGTAAATTCAAATTGTCTTCATCATCCATAGGAACACCATCGATATCTTCATCCACTATTAGAATAGGATAAAATAAATATTTATTAACATACTTTTTAATAAAGCATTAAATGATCTATAGAAAATATACTGACATCGTTTTATTGGAAAAATCTCAGACACCTTGCATATATAAATATAAATAATAAAATATTCTTACTAGGTACGCCATCGATATCATCGTAATTGGATGTTGTTTGCGGCGTAAGCCCATGTTTCATTGCTCCTTTAAGTAAAGCAGCCCCATCCAAAGGTACACCATCTAAATCTTCTCCACCTTCACCATCAACATCAGATAAAGGTGCTCCGTCTATGTCTTCTTCGTTTTCTGGTTCAGGCTCATCTAACTAAAAGAAAAAATACAAGATAAATACATCCCACGTTAATTTGATTTTAATCAAATATTTAATATTTACCATTACAAGGCCCAAAAATGTATTTTGTAATTTAACAAGAAAATCTCTTGGATAAACTGCCCAATCTTCCCAAGCTCTGAACATTCTCATTACACGTGCTTTGAATCCTTCAGCTTTTAATCGACTGTCAAATTGTTTGTAAGCTTGATGTACTTCGTTAAAAATATCAAGAAGACGCGTTTCAAATCTGAAAGATACAAATTTAATAAATACATATATGTTAATATATTATATGTATATACGCATTATTATAATATAAATATATTTACGCTTTTCTATAAATAGTAGCATTAGTCACTTTGACGCCACAATTGTGTAAGACATCAGATATAAGATATAGTCTTGCTATTTTTTTATTAACAGGTGTTTGGAGTATTGATAATGATTCCGATATACAGTCGCAAATTTCTTCTGCTGCTTCTGCATGTTCTATGCAGAAAACCATTGCTTCCGCAACTTTTATTCTTTCAGGTGATATGTTCCTCAATAAATCTTCTAATCTATCTCTTTGACTATATAAAAAATAATGAAGAATTTTATTAGAATAGACATTTATATAAATAAATATAATAAAAGTAATTTGAAAGAAATTACCTGTTAGATAAGCTACCTCTTCTTGGTTCCTGCCGTTCTTCCATTTCAATTAATTCATCAGGCATACCTTGCGTCCATGGATTAATAGGAGGCGGTCTCCAAACACTTCCACCTTTGAACATTCTAAAATCTTCTGTACGCCATTCTTTTTGACCATCTCCTTGCAGAATAGAATATAATTTCCAACGATAATATGTATGGGCGGGTGAATAATTTTCAAACAAAAACCTTTTAACAAAAACATTTGTCTTTATCAATTAATAAATTCAAACATTCAACTTATAGGGTGAAATTTGTATAATTTATGGGAAACAAACCTAAACATCGGATTGTTTAATTCTCGATTCATTATCATAGCTTCAAACATTGGACCTTCTCGAATTACAAATTCCACCATTCTATGTATTAACATGACTAAGTTCCTATAACGCAGAGTTTTATTAAATACGTGTTTTCACAAATCGGAAATAACAGGGTCTATCTTCTTCAGGTTGTGTTTAAATTTCCTGCATGTATACTTACAGAAAATTCAGAATCAACTAAAAACGACAAATACCTTTCGGTTGGAATAACCACTTTGACAACCGCATTCTGCAAAACCTGTGACAGTCCAGATCACAGTGTAATAGTAACAGTCGATGGAGTGTTCCAATCCACATTCCACAATGTGCACCCCAAGAATGGTCGCCAACAAATTAATATAACACAATTTTTAAACGTAGATTAGAGATATCTTGATATCGTGATTGGAACATTTATAAATGTCTATCATTAATTTCATTACATGTATATGTTTTTTTCTATTTCTTTTTTTTAACTTGTCAAAATGTATCTGGGATTGTTTCTTTTCATATGCAACACTTACCAGTTACATTTATCTAAAATACTCTTATAACTTTGTTATCCAAAGATGTCATGCTTTCATATAATTCCATTACATTTACAAAATTATATATCTGAATATATAGGATCACTTTGTAAATATAATTATTAATAAAGAAGATAAAAAGATATTATTGTGTTAGTTTACTGAAGGCATGTTTCTTTTGTATTTAAATTTATCGTACATTAACATCTGTATCAAAGTTAATTTTTCTTTTATTATTGAAAGCAATTCACTTTTAGAAGCAAGTTTTTGTAATATATATTACAGAAGCCTGCTTTGGCACAAATTTCTTCTTTTTCTTTTTTTTCTTTTCCGTACAATATTATTACTATAATGTTTTCTACACTGCAATAACAAAATACATTCTAAGGAAATCTATAATATAACATTAAAATACTATTACCTTTTCGAAGTTCTCCTTTTCCTGGGGATCTGCGCTCTGGAGGTTGCGGATACGTGGTATCTGAGATTATGTTTCAAAAATGGTTATATGTTTCTAATTAATATTTGTGGAAAAAAAATGTCATAAACATTTCTTTTGAATAATATTATTTCACTAAATAAGTGAATATATATATATGTATGTGTATAACAGAAATAAATAACTTATTGCTTTCGTTTAGCAATAAATATGCCTTACCGCTTGTAACAAATATACAAATAGATGGAAATATGATAAAATTAAATATTGAAAAATTAATCTAATTAAAATATATTATATTAAATATATTAATATATAATTGACACAACAAATGTCTGCTATACTATAAAATTTAAATTTAACAATTGGAAACGTGTGTTCAACAATTAAAACAATTATGGAGTACCTACATAAAATAGGAAAATAGTCTACAAAATGATTACTATTATTATTATTATTTTTTTATTATCATTATTATTATTACTATTACTATTGTTATTCTTATTGTTATTATCGTGATATTAAATTTTAAGATGATTGAAAAAGAATCTTGCTCTTTTACGATAATAATATGTGTATAAAGCATAGAAGAAGTAAAAAATATATCTTTTGGAAGCTAGAATACTTTATAAATCAATTTTTCAAACAATATGCATGAGATAGATAAAAAGGGTAATTGTAATATAATAATAAAACGAAATTCGTTAAAACGAGATTGATTATTTTATTAACCGCACCTTTCAATTGGTTTAATTCATGTACCTTGTGTCTGTCGCGGCGATGCGGTTGTGCATTAAATGGAAGACCCGATGGAGGCGGTGGCTGTGTTATTTCCATCAAAGCGGGTGGAATGTAAATAGGATATGGCGGTATCGGTACACTTTTTCCCCATCCCAATTTCATCTCGTATTGCATTATATCTCGTCCTAATTTAATACAAGACATAAATTATTATTATTAGTTCGTAATTTATAAGAAATAAAACATATTCGATGTAATGATTATTCACCATTTAAATTTTTCAATGCTCTTTCACCATCCTTACGACTCATAAATGCTACAAAACCACAATTTCTTTGTCTGGCTTTTTCTTCATCGCTACGTGGCCACATGATTTTAATACTAGCCAATGGTCCATATTTGCCAAAAATTTCCATAAGTTGTTGTTCAGTAATCTAATAATATAAATCATATTTGTATATTCAAATATAACATTTATTATTTTAATTGTAATTTGGACACAAACGATCAAAACATAAAGTATTACCTTAGGATTTAAATTTCCTAAATATAAATTAGTCGTGTTAGGATCTCCATTATCGAATGAGCCATCTATAAAATAGTAATATTTCAATGAATAATTAAATTAGAAAGTAATGAAATTTAATATGCAGAGGAAGGAGCAGAGGTGCATGGGATTACCCTCATACATCAGGGCTAGGAGACGAGGATCATCAATGAAGTTACGTAGATTAGCTTTTCGTGGATCTGGATATGAAGATATACCACCTATTAAAATTTTAAGTATACCGAGAGCTTATAAAAAAATTCACAAATAATTGACTCTAATTACTTTTATTCCATTTAAATAATACGATAGCAAAACAATTCAATAATAGTTAAAGAAAAGTTCTTTTATAATATGCATCATGTGATATTTATAAATACCTTCTACACATTTTAATGCAGCCATCATTGGATCTTCAGATTGTGTAGATATAACAGTTTTGACTACACCCTTATACTTATGTCTTTCTTCGCGTTCTTCTTGTATCATTTTAAGCTCTTCTTTGAACAACTCAAGATTACTTTTCTTCTTCTCCCCTTCTTTCTTTTTTTTACCCAATCTATCAAGTTTACGTTCATTTGAACCAAGAAGTCTTGCATATTCTTGCGCTTGTTCAGCGGATGACCTATTTTCAACTAATTCAGATATTTTAGATTGCGGTTTATACAATTTTCCTTTCTCTCTTGTATCCTCTTCTGCATTACATATTATATAATTAATAATAATAATTAATTAATCTTAGAATGAACTCCTTGCATTATAACAATGTGTGAGACCACAGAATATGGCATACAGTTAAATCATAATGCAAGGGGTTAATAATTTAAACAAACATACGTCTTTTGCCAGCATCATACGTTCCAGCTTTAACCCAAACTTTGCTTGTCGTTTTACTTGGCGTCTCTTGAAACGTTGCAACAAATTCTTCAAATGCCTATGCAATTGTACGGTATTAGATATACATAAATAGAAAAATATATTGTGAATCATTTTGAATGCATACTTGTGCAGCTGCCTGTTCTTGTTCTTTCTTACGTTGTTCCTCCAATTCTTTTTTACTCAATGGACGTTTCCCCATTGTGCCAATGGAAAATGCTTTGAGCTTTTGCTCAGTAATTTGCTACAGAATACAAACAATCATTAGAATGAAAAATATTGAAAGAATAAAATAGGATTTTAAAAAGGTGTCTAAATGTAAATTATTATTTTATACCTTCATTATAGTTTTATCCGCCATCTGTAAAGTGTAATACGTAACCTAAAATAATCGCATGAATATGATAATTAAAGCAACTCATAGATATTAGATATTAATTCGTTAATTTATATATGTAGATAATAAATGCAACGTACGGATTATGGATAGCTGTTGATTATCTTTTCATACAAGATATTCCAAATACGTTGCAACAACAAATTCGTTGTCTACGTTGTATCTAACACACGAAAAAAGGATTTGGTAAAATCACGAAACATTTGAGCAATTTGAGTAATAACTAAATTCTATTTAATTACAAGTTATTAAAAGCTTATATAGTTATTTGATAGATCAAAAATTTGATGCTTATTGATGATAAGATTGAAATATTATTTTTCACTGGCTTCACTTGCTAAACTTAAGTAAATGAAAGATAATTTTTACTTCGGAAAGGATCTATGCAAGAACTCTACTACATTTATGATTAATGTCGTTAATCGATGCTAGATGGCAGGGTTATTGACGATTACGAGGACATCTATCGAAATTGATAAAAAAATATCTATTAAAATTAAACATGGCCGGTGTTTTGTTTGTGTGTAAAAATGGTTATACTTTGGGGCTATGTTTAGATCATTTATCGCGGTAATAAAATAAACATTATTTTCGTCACCTTAGGACGGAGTAAAATGAACGCTACGAGTCTTTACGTGTCAACATGTCGGTTGGTTTTACAAGCGGATGCTGAAGATCCTAATTCTTGGACAGACTTGTATAGGCTAGTTCCGTATTTGCGGCAGAGCTTGAGTTGTACAGTGTGTTCGAATTTGTTGATCGAGCCGCATACACCGACTGAAACCAACTGTCAACATCATGTGTGTCGTGGTTGTAGGGGTGGTCGTAAAAAACTCAAACCATCGTGTAGTTGGTGCAAGGATTATGATAAATATGTTGAAAACGTCCAACTCCGGATATTGTTACAGTGTTATAAAAAATTATGTGAATACTTGACTAGCACTAATATTTATCGGAGTTTAATACTCTCCGTGTCTTCCAATACAACAAGCAATGGTCCATCAGCTATTGGTGCTACCAGTCTTATGGAGCTCATACAAGAAGGGACTGGTTTTAAAGATGAATTCAAAAGTACTGCTGGTTTATCCAAATCAGCATATAGTATTTTACCTTGCGTTTACACTAGTACTACCTCTACTCAAACGCAAGGGAATACTATGTCAACTTCTGAGACTATGTCACCAAACATACCTGGTTCGTTTCAAGATCGCATTGACCGTTTGAGTCCAAAGGATCTTTAAAAAACTACTGTTGATAAAAAACCATAACAATGTGATCTCATTGCTTTGGACTCGAGTGGTTAATTATATAGTTTTGTTTACAAAGATAAGTTTTCTGATATAAGTTATTTTATTTTATTAGAGTCTCCTACTATCCGTACTGTTTCTAATGGATCTTCTATATATTCGGTGATGTACGCTGGATCTGGTAACAAAATAACAATAAAACGTAAAGCAGCAGCCACAGAAGAAATAGAAGTCGGACAGCAGGAATTGGATGGAACTCAACAAGGCTCTGTAGGAGGGGTAAAATGCATTCCATCTACCCAACTTAAATATGGGCCCCCTTCTCAGAAAAAATCTTCAAAGGGCAGCAAAGTAATTTCAATAGATATTCGGTTAATCTTATGCCTTACAGGGAATATATACGTTGCACTATATAATTTTAATATCAATCGCTAAATGATGTGCATCTTCGTTAATGCTACTTGTAAGGTACAATAATTTCATTTAATTTGCATAACATTTAACCAATTATTGTGAATATTAATTTTATTTAACCTTTTGCATATATATACATATATACATATATTTATATCACATTCATTAGTCCATACTAACATTTGTCCCAGAAAGGTTTTCTATTTATATATTATCCTTGGTCCCATAAAAAATGGGATTAATGCAGATGTCATTATTTCATAATCTGTCTTCATCTTAACCAATTAAAAGCATGTGCATTGATAATAAACAAAAATACATGTAAATACACCTCTGCATTAATCTGCACTATTTTTGTTTTTAACTCTTTTCTATTTGTTATATTTTTATCAATAATAATGCAACTTGCTTTGTTATACCTCACAGTCGTCAGGCAGTTTTAAAAAGCCAAGATCGAGTTCTACCAGAAGCAAAAGAAAAGGATGCAGATGCGGTAATGCTACAGCTATACCTGGAAAATTAACGTGTTGCGGTCAAAGATGTCCCTGTTATGTTGAAAGTAAACCATGCATCGAATGCAGATGTAGAGGCTGTAGAAATCCTCATACAGCTGATGGTTTAAAGGTATTTGTCATTTTAATTATCACTTTAATGATATTTTTATTTTTAAGACCCTTTACCATCTGCATTTTATACTTTAAATGATTGTTTAATTGTTATATCCTATATACACAGATGCGTATATGTATACATCTATGTATATACATTACAGATCCGCCCACATATACCGGAGCTTCATAATCTACAATTACAACTATCAACTCCTTTAGATTGCGACGAATTAAATTCGGATCCGTTAGGATCCGTGTCGCAATGCTTATCAACGTCTCCTACAACTATTCAAGTATTAAATGTCTATTCTACTCCAAGACTCGATATTGATAATGTTCCACCAAATTTACCTGCAGCATTATTGGTAGGAGAAGACGCTATGGTTAGTACTGAAAGTGAAGCCGAAGACAGTGATATACAAATTGATGTGTGACAAAGTGTTTAAATTAAAATTATGCGTTATACATGACAAGATTAATAGTTACGAATAGTTCATTAGAATTGATTTAAATTAAATAGCTTAGACGATATGATAATCGTTAATAAGCTATTTTATCTCTATACGATAAATAAGAATTTTTTTATTTCTAATTCTCACTAATCCTTTCGCTACGATGGAATTTATTGTATGCTATAGTTAAATGAGACAAAATATTAATATTTATATTGACTATAATCCATAGTAGCGAAAGGGTAAATCATTTGAGTCCCAAGTAGAATGATCATGCTCTTCAAATTTCTTGTCAAAAAATGTTATATTATTGAAATACAATCCATAATTTGGTACTTGTTGATGTGATTTTTCTAAAGACTGCTGGGACTCGAACGGTTAATAGTTGATAATTTAGATATGAAAAGATAAATTTTGTACAACAGCATCAATAACAAACAAATGTTTTTATGATTAAATTTTTGTTTAGTTAGAAATTAATGAAATGAATTACTGTTTAATTAATATCAAATGATAAAAAATTATATTCTCTATTTAAAGATTACCATTGTTAAAGAAAATTTAAATAATTCGAGCAATTAAGTCTAGTTGCATGTATAGTATAAAAAATAAGTTCGAATGAGACTATAATGCTTTTGAATTTCATCATATATATTATTCTTAGCATAATAAACAAATTGTACTTGAAAAAGAGAAAAGAATTAGAAAAAAATTTAATATAAAAGTACAATTACCTATTTAATTAAAAAATTAAATCTATCGTACATATATATATATAAACACACATATATTTTGGCAATTATTTGTTTTTGTTATATACGGTGTGTGTAAGTAAATATAATAAATCTTCATTTTTGATCAGTTAAAAAAAATAAGTAATAATATAGGTACAAAGAGAGAGAGAGAGAGAGAGAGATGTATAGATAAAAAATATTTAAAAAAAGGTTCTTTTATTCGCTGTATAATGAAGCTGTTGTACATTTAAAAAAAAAATGTAGTTAGATAATATAGAAAAATTATTGAATAATTAAAAAATAAATTTTGAAAAGAAAATGTATATACAATAATTACATAGCGAATTAAAAAGGAAAGAAAAACATTCAAACAACATAAACTTGCCACTCTTGTACATACGATGACTTAAAATAAAGTCACACATATTTTAGCTACATATATTTTAACTATTTTACATACCGATATTTCCACTTTTTTAATATAAAGGTGCGCAAAAGTAAAAAAACAAAACACATTCAACATTTTCTTATATCAAAGGAAGAATTACCTTAGTTCTTAGAAAATGATTAAAAAAAAAATAAAAATAAAAAATAAAAGAAAAAAATGTTAAATTATGTAATAATATAATATAATATAATGTAAATATACTAAATAATCTACACACACACACACACACACACACACACACACACACATATATATAAGCCGTACAATTTGTTCATATTATATTATAATACAAAATTGAAACCATTGGGGCAAATATGGCTGTAATTTTTATTTTGCCTCTAAATTTTATAGAAAATAAAAAGAAAATAAAATAAGAGATATTAATTATATGATCGTTTGCCTAACGTTTAGGTGATTTATTGTAAATAGTAGTATATAGATGATAATTTTATCAAAGTACTGGAGGGAATTAATCTTATGTATCCAAGACTTATAAATTATATTTTTTAGAACTAAATTTCATCTATATAATTATATATATATATACAAGGTGTTTGAGATTTTTCTAGTCAAACTGTGTAAGCATATTCTATGCATGAAAATAAGAAAAATATGTTATATAAACATAGATCATTTAAAACTTTATTAAAAAGCTGACACACTTTGGCAAGAAAAACTTCGAACACTCTATATATAAAATATATTCAATTTACAAGCAGATCTCAATAATTATTTGGTCTCATGGAAATGTATATGTTCTATGTTGATAATGATAAGTTTCCTTGGCGCATATTCGTTTATATTGACTATTTTACATTTGAAACGATTACTTATAAAGAACATTATTTATTTGGTTACACTCTCTTGGAATGTAATTTGAAACTTATTTAAATATGCATATATTTCTAATATTACGTAGATGTAATATATATACATATATCTATAACAATAATTACGGAATTTACTTATTTAAAAAATGAATTATTATTATTATTTGTTATAATTTTTTAATTTTATTTTTATTATTTTTTTTTTTAAATATAAAGCAAAATTGTTGCCAAGAAAGCTCCAAAATATCAAACGTTATAATTAAATTAAATATAAGGAAAATGTGAATGTGTATATATATATAAAAATGTAGCTATGCATTTCTGTATCAATGCTTCTCTATACATATATATATATATGACATAAATCTGACAGATAGATAAATTATAAAATGGTAGTAGTTTCAGTGAAACAATTTATTACATTTTACGAAAGAAACGTTGATTATAAGGATATATATGATTTAGTTTATGAAGATAATTTGTAATGTCATTATAGTCTGTCTTCAAGAATATGTCATACAGTGTCACTACATACAAAATTAACAGAATAAACCTATTTTACATACTAATTTATAAACTCAAACGTTTCTAATCCATTATATACATAAGTGTTAGTTTAAAATTAAAAAAAAACATATATATATGCCATGATCAATATGATTTTTCTTTTTCAATTTACTATTTCAATTTTTAATTTATGAAGTGCTCGCGGGCCTTATCTCATTTATTATTTTTTATCTGTCATTCAAAATTAATAATTTAATATAATATTCAATAATTTTGAAAAACATATTATTTTAAATTTAAATATTAAATTAAACTATTATTTTTTATATCGGTGACATATAATTATTCGTATGATGTAAGTAGTAGCAACGAGTAGAGAAATTTAAAGATGGCTGCAATTAAGTTTGGATCACATTTAAAGGAATTGAGAATTCTTTTATGTCAAACATCAAAGTCAAGTGAAGGAGTTAGGTAAATTAAAGTTACTATAAAAAAAAGGATTTGTTAAATATAAAGTTAAGAAGATTTAACTACAGTAATAATAACCGAATGGCTCAAATTCTAACCTAAATGTATTTAAATATGCTTGTGTTTCTTTTTCAGAGATTTCATAAAACAGCAGTATGTTTCTATAAAAAAAAATAATCCTAAATTTCCTATTCTAATTCGGGAATGTTCGTTAACCGAGCCAAGATTATTTGCACGTTATGGTAAGTTGTAATTATTAATATTAATTTAATTGTCATACTAATTACATAAATTTTGGAATAATATTTTTAGGATTGTAATTAAAATAATATCAATTAAAATTCTTTGACACAGAGACAAATTAATACATAAGTTGTTATATTTTTGGTATCTTAATCTTTGGAATATTACAATGTTTCAGAATACGGAGTAGAACAACAAATATCACTGAATAATTTAAAGTCAGAAGAAATACTCGAAAGGCTAAAACAACTAGTATCTACAAAACCATGAATATATTCTAATTTATAAAATAGATATGTATATCACATAATTGTTGTTTAGTTGTCAAATAAATTAGTTATTATAAATGAAAAAGTATATTATCTTTTCTTTCGTTTTTTATTTATAGGAAAAATGTTCACAGGAACTTAATTATTGTGTATATATACGCACTGAATTAGAGCACAAATAATTTATATCAAGCTTGTAAAAATTACAAGATATAAATGAGACCAAAAAATATATTACGATCTATTATGTACGTATAAGATACTAAAAAAGTTTATACGCGGAATGCATACAAAATAACTAAAAGAAATACTTAAATATATGGCAGGATATGGTATTCATTATTATATCTTTCTTTTTTTTTTTTTTTTTTTATTTAAGTTTATCCTAATATATATATAAATTTTTAATAGAGATTCCGAAATAAAAAATTCGTCTAAATGTTTGAACTGTGAAATCCTATAGAAAACCTGCCTGCAGATTTTCATATTTATGTATTATATTCTACTTTACAATCTGACTATACTCCGAAAGGCTGTTCATCACATCTTGCTCAAAATTATGCATATTAAATCAATGACGAGTTTAGAAGAAAAAAAAATTGAAAGAAAATTTAGAAGCACGTTAAAGGCAACATTATTCCTTTTCTAGGTTTATCATGTCGGTGTGTATGCTTGTGTAAGTATGCTGTACCCTTTATGTCATTAGAATAAATTAAGAAAGTAAGTTAACAATAGGACAATTCATAGATGAAATTCTATTTAAAAAGTATAGTGATTAAACGACGAGTATACTGATATATATTTATTATATAAGTTAGATAAAAATAATGTTCAAAAAGCATTGGTATTAATATAATTATTAAATAATAATATAATAAATAAATAAAACAATAATATAAAAGAATAAAGTCGGAACTCTATGTTATCTTTTAGGTGACAATAAAATACTAGCAGTAAAATAAGATTATAAATATTGCCGTATCTAAATTAAGATTATTTTTTTACTTAATATCTAAGTACGCGAATATATCGTAAATATTATCTATTGATGTGAAAAATGAGAAATTTATCTTTCCTACCACATTTATTATTTCTTGGTAATGATTACGTAACGGATTTGATCAATGGAATATTTCATGTACGAGCATCAAGTACGTTCTGTGCAAATAAATAATAAAAAACATATATACAAAATATATATCGTCTAAAAATTATAAAGATAAATATCTAAATATCTAAATGTTTTATTCGAAATCTATAGTTTATTCATTTCTTTCAAATAACATAGTAAATATTTCATTAAAATATTTACCGATTATTAGATATGCTTATTTTTTCCAAATGACTTTAGCATAACGACACAAGCATAACCACATGATAAATCCATATAGCACATCGCAACAGTTTACGATATAATTATCTAATTCTCCTAAAGATAATTACTGATCGATTTTTATGAATAAGATTTTATAAAACCCCACGAGATGATTCTTTTTCTTTCTTCCTAATTTTGAAACTATTTATATTGAAAATTATATTATTTATGAAAATTTTTAAACGAGTGATCTCGTGTAATAAGTTTTTATCTTTTTTAATAAATCCTCGTTCATTAAAATCGATTAAGAATTAGGCTCAGAAGAATTCATAGCTACTGAAATTTGGTTCTAGTTAATATGGTGGTAAACCAAATAATTCCGGACGAAAATCTTCCAGGCTTTTTAATACAACAGTTGCACCTTTAAAATATTTTTCATCCAACATAGGATCTGGCACCATTATAACTTGCATTCCTGCAGCTACGGCAGCTTCTACTCCATTAGGAGAATCTTCAAATACTAGGCACTGTAATAACCTTGATGAGTAAAATATTGTAACATTACTTTTGTTTAATATTACATATAAAATAAAAGACCTTTGAAGGTTCAGGCTTGTCAGGAAACCTTTGAGCAGCTATTAAAAATATATCTGGATTTGGTTTTCCTTTTTTAACTTCTGGATCTGTACCACCATAAACTTTATGATGAAACAAATCAAAAATGTGCTCCCATCTTTGAGTTTTTATATCACCGGTTGGTTTACTAGAACTTGTCGCAAGTGCAATTGGAACATTATTGTTTTTCAGATGTTTTAAAAGGCGCTCTGCACCTGTATAATAATACATAATATTTTTTATATATTTTAATGCATGCCATATATTTGCTGCTATATTTTGTACTTTATCTGTTTAGCTTGTAAGATTCGCTACAGGTAGGACTTATGTTTCTCATGTTTACATGTTATTATAGTGCAAGTAGTTAATGTTTGATACAAATGGTTTCGTAAAATGTAAATTGACAAATACCTGGCATTAAATTACACTTCGGAAAAATTTCCACATATATATCGGCGAGTTGTCTTTCAAATTCTGGTCCACTTATCGGCAATTCTAACATCTCAACAATAGTTTTAGCTGCTTCGCTGCTCTTAAATCCCATTATTTTAATTTTATGTTCCCAAGTATAATCTTTACCATACTTTTGAGAAATTTGATTGAAAGCTTGGGAGTACAAAGTCTCTGTATCTGAATAATTATATAAAAATAAATATTTTAAATTATACTTTATATATTTATTTTAAAAAGATTAATTTTATATCTATTTCTTTATAAAAAAAAAAAAATAACCAATAAAATTTGTATATTCATATTGAAACAATTTGATTAAATATAAAATAGAATCTACTACCAACTATCAAATAATTTAAATAATTATAATAAATAAACATATATATATCGTACCTAATAATAAACCATCCATATCAAAAATACAATGTGTTACTTTTTTATAATTGTTGGCAGCCATTTTTTAAAGTAAATGTTTGTTAGGTTATCTGCAATTGTGATTACAAATATTAGTAAATGTTATTAGCCGATTAAAATAATTAAACTAATATAATAACGTATAGAGTATCATATATTTAATTAGTATAGAATGATAATTAAAATAAACTGTTATTACTTACAATTTTATCTTTACTTAATTCGTTCCTGACAAAACAACGTTTAGATTTGAACTAGTCTATTGCCAAGCAATCAATTCAAAGTGTATGACAAAATTCTTTCATAGATGTCGCTTTATTCAAGTTTTTTAAAGATTAGGTTAGTATGACGTAAGAATTGTAAATAATTGGTATATTAAAAAAAAAAACACAAATTTTTACAAATATTTATCATTAAAGATAATATTGACATAAGTCGATTGTATCTTTTAATGATCGGATTTTCTGTTCTTTTCTTTAATTATATTTATTTTTAAACCTCACAAAATTACTCTATATAAGGTATAGTTCTGATTTCTTTTTTAAATGTCCTCTTCCTTTTTTTTTTTCTAAGTATGCGTGTAAAATCAAACACAGATGCATTTGGTGACCATTAAGCTTAGAAAATTTGAATGATGTCAAATGTTACAAATTTTAATCAATTAATTTGATGAAAACGTTAACATTAACAAATAATAAAAGAAAATAAATGCAATATATTAAAAATGATTAATTAATTCTATATTATACACATGTATATATATAAAATATTGTTCAATTAGTGCTGATATTTAATAAGAAATATTTTCTAATCTCGACAAAGTATACATCATCCATTATTGGAAAAGTTACTTTGTTATTAATATTTATATTATTAAATTAAAATTACGGCGTATGAATGAAGTGCTTAAGTTTAATTGTTTTATTAATAATTTTATTAAAAGGACACTGCGTCGAACAATACTGTGAGATTGATGATGCAGACAATTGCAAAGACAGAGATGAAGGTTATAAATATACCAAAGGTTGTTGTTACTTTATTTACATTTGTATATATAAAAAAAATAAAATAAAAAATAAATGTTTAATTATTATATTAAAAGAATATTAATCGTTTATATTTTATATATTATTATAGTTTCTAATGAAAAATATAAAAAATATATTGAAGCTATCAACGAGGCTGAAAGAAATTACATAGAATGCAACGCTACCAGATGTGAATGTTTTAAAAATATAATAATAAGAGATTTAAAACCATTTAAGAAAAATGGTATAAGCAAAGAATTAATTGATATAGCAAAGACCAGGTATATATGTTTTATTTCGATGTCGATGTTGATATACATCCTGTAATTGGTGATACTATTTAACAGTGAGTGATTCTATATAAAACAAAAATCTTAAATCAAAATTGTAGAATCGTATTTATTTTTACAAGATTTTATGTGTCGTATACTCATGTACACTTGATTGAGTTTTAGTTCAATTAATTTCATTATCTTAATTCTCAGATATTTTCCTACTCGCTTGTATCACCAATTACAGTAACCGCTGTAAACATTTTGATAATTATTATTAATATTTCATTCTAATATAATATCCTTTTATTTTTCTCAGAGGTACATTTTATCAAATAATTGGAGGGAAGCTTTACAGAGAAAAAGATTGCATGTTTCCGTCGAGATGCGCCGGGATAGAACACTTTATTTTTAAGATAATTGATAACTTAACTGACATGGATTTAGTTGTTAACACTAGAGATTATCCTCAATCGAATAAGCATTTTGGAAAACCTCTACCTATACTTTCATTTAGCAAGGTAATAATAATAATATATAAAATAATATAATTATATACAGAATGCGCAACAGGGAACAATATTTTTCAAATTTTACTTTTTTTCTATATATATATATTTATATATATATATATATATATATAAAGAACTTCATTCGATTCGACATCGTCTTGATTTGTGTCCAAATTCAGCACATTACACAATATTTATAGACACCACAATATTATGATATTATGTATCCAGCATGGGCATTTTGGGAAGGAGGACCTGCTATATCTTTGTATCCTCGTGGTCTTGGACGGTGGGATAAACACCGTCAATTATTAGATAAAACTAGTAAAAATATACCATGGGATAAGAAAAAAGAGAAGGTCTTTTTTCGTGGCTCTAGGACTAGCTCTGAACGTGATAATTTAATATTATTGAGCCGTGAAAATCCTAACTTAATTGATGCACAGTATACAAAGAATCAAGCGTGGAAGTCTGACGAAGTAAGTTAATTTAATTATTATTATTATTATTATTTTGTTTCATTTAATAATCTATTTCAATTCTTTATCATTAAATATCAATGTTTATATTTAGGATACGCTACATGCACCTCCAGCTTCTGAAGTTCCATTAGAATCTCATTGCGCGTATAAGTATTTATTTAACTATCGTGGAGTAGCAGCTTCCTTTCGATATAAACATTTGTTCCTGTGCCGATCCTTAGTTTTCCATGTCGGCGATGAATGGACAGAATTTTTTTACGACGCTATGAAACCATGGATTCATTTTATTCCTGTTCCTAAGGACGCTACTCAAACTGATTTAAAGTAAGATTCGATGGCTATTATTTCGTAACACATTTTTTTTTTTTTTTACATCATTAAAATAAGTTCTTAAATACTAATGACATATTTAATTTTTGAAATAATATATTTTTTTATATTATTATTATTATTATTATTATTCTATTTCTAATATAATTCAATTAATTACGTTAACATTTTCTTTTTCTTTTCAGAGAACTCATACAATTTGCGATAGACAATGATGCATTGTCAGAAAAAATGGCTAATCGCGGTAGAGATTTTATTTGGCATAAGTTAAGAATGAAAGATATAACGTGCTTTTGGAAAAAACTTTTACAGAGTTATGGGAAAGTGTTGTCGTACAAACCAATTTTAGATAAGAATCTAATTAAAATAGAACGAAAATAATTGATTAATTTGATTAATTAATGAAGTAAAAAATATATATATATATATATTATATAATAAGTATAATCATTATACTAGATAAAATATACATGTATTTTTTATTATTATAATAATAATAATATTTACTTTTTATGATAATGTGGAAAGTATATTACAATGGAGGTTTTTTTTCTTAGTTGGAGTAAAACAGCTATGTGGCAAGTTTCAAAGTGAATCATTAATACTCCAACGTTACAATAAACATAAAAAACGACCTCGTACTATGCTTATTATAATTCATTTTTTATTTTCAAACGTAATAAAATATTTTCATATTAATATGGAAAAAAAAAAAATAGATTTGTAAACTAGCAAATGCATAATTTAATAAATATTTGATCATAGTACAGGGTCATTTATAGTGTAACTTTATACATATTAAACGATTCTTAATACTTAAGTACTGGTAAAACACTTACACAATCAAACTACTTAGAGACTTATTGAATTATAAGAAAATGCATTATTGGTTGAAAATAATTATCAATTTGGATAGTTATATATATATAATACATTATGGTCAATTATATATTTTAATTTCGTCATTATTCGTTTCATCTTAGCGTGTTAATATTGAAATATAACTACAAAGTATTATTTTCTTTTTTTAGACTATATAAAAATTGATACTTGATCAATACATTCCAGATATTATTTGAAAACCACACAGTATTTGGTTCTTGCACATAGATACATAACTTTTATTGTAATGAGATATAATTTGTTCTTCGATGAAAATATAGCGTTTAATGTATTGACGATAATATGGAAGCATTTATTACGAGGAAATAAATGTTGCAGAATAACAAAAAAAAAACGTTATATTTTTATAAACTAAATTCTTTTCATTTATAGTTTTAATTTACATGAAAAAATAAAGCATGTATCTCTTTGCAAATGCGTAGACAAAGATTAAGATATGAGATGTATGCATTACAAAAATATGATTTCTTTTTTCTTTTCTTTTCTTTCATTTTTTCTCTTTTATGTCATAGATATCAAATGTATAAGTTACAAAAATATTTTTTAAGGCACTTGCAAAATAACAATTCTTTTTAAACACAATAGTAAATTAATAGTCGTGAGACATGAGTACTATTAGCGAATGTTTTAATATGAATATATATTATTTGTGATTTAAATTCATTAATTTTTTTATTGTTGGATATAAAGTTATTATTATTGGTTTCCTTGTAAACTTATATGTATTGTGTACTCTGCGTGTTGTATCTTCTTTTTTAATTCTTTTAATCCTTTGACTGCGAATGACGTCTATAGGCGATCTATGCAACATTCTTCTTCACAACACAGTCGAATGGTTAAATAACATTATATCATTTGCTATCATTATTATCGCTCAACAATTAATACATAACTTTTTTTTTTTTTTAATAATATAATTTAAAATACTAGAACACTCATGTAACATTTTAATTTTTTTCTATAACAAATACTTTAGACAATATCGTATTGTCGACATATATGAGAAACAATTTGATAGCATTTCTTTATTAATCATAGTATAGTTGCCTGGCGTTGCAATGTTTTACTGCTGCATTTCATTTTTTTTTTTTTAAATATATATTTTCTTTTATTTTTAATATAGAAATATACTTTGAATTTTTTTGTGCGAAATGCTACAACGTTCTAGACCCAAAACAAATTGTGCCTAACAATATTAGAAAGTCTTTTCGCAGGTAATGTACAAATCAATAAATAGGCAGTGTGTGAATAAGGGTCCAGCACGAAAACATTGAACAGTGATAAATTTAATAAAATTGATATGAATATGAGAATTCTTCCAAACCAATTTATCTGTAATATTTAATACACAATATTTTATATAATATTATTAATAGATTAGTTCCTTCATAAGATATTAACCCTTAACGCTCCTAGTGTGCCTCTCAGGCACCATTGATCTATGGCATTGCAAAATAAGTCGAAGTTGCCGGTTGATATAAACAAATAGAAGTCGGAGTGTTAAGGATTAAACTTTATCTATTTAAATTATACTATACGATATACATTCAGGAAATACATGAAAGCGTACTTTGGAAAAATACTCATAAAGTATGAATCTTTTTAAGATCTTTAAATTAATAAATTCAAAAGTCATGTCATTTCCTAATACTTAAAATCTAGATAAAAAAAAAAAGGATTACACATCGCATAATCACATTTGCTATGGAAAAGTTTGTAAATTAGAGCTAGAAGACGATTAATACAGTAATAATCGGTCGAGAGAGATAATGAACGAACATTATTTCAAAACTTAATTTTTTTAATAGATAGGCTTACGTGTGTCTCGAAAATATCCGAAATAATATATTGAGCGAAATTTAATTGGAAAATCGTTTCCATAAGAAACTTTGTTCAACGATCACTCAATTTTCTACATACCTGTTTATATATGTGTAGTAATATTATATTGTCAGTTCCTAATAATTGAAGGTTAGAATCGATGAGATGAGTTTGTTGTTCTGCGCAAGCTGATTTGCGAATGACAGTCTGCGCAAGACGGTCTGCGCAAGATGATCTGCGTAAGACAGTCTGCGCAAGATGGTTTAATATTATTAGATGGTTTTATATTTACCCATTTTTATATAAATAAACAAAAAAAGATCTACAATATATTTTAATAATACAGTAAAATAAAAATTTGTAATTTGCAATAAATCAATAAATTTCTCAATGATTTTAACTTCAAAATATCGTATTTTAATATCACATGAATTAGCACCCTTTATATTAAATTATTCCGCATGCGCATAACGAACAAAACGTCTCGTAATATTGTCAATAATAAAGAATATAATATACTACCCCACATATATAAATAATAGTTTATATTTTTCGGATTATTTTGATCAAAAGTCGTACCACTAAAAATACTTACATACTTATTTATGTCACTGTACGATATGTGAACTATATAATCAGCTAAAAAAAAATAGAACTTCTATTCAAGACGTTTTACCACACGTTTTTTATTGGCAGTTTGCGTTTAACTCTTCTCTATCTTTTTCTTTCTTTCTTTTTTTTCCGTATACCGTCCAATAATAGAGAAGCTTGACGCATATTAAAGTTAATCACTTTCACTACTAACGATAGCCAGTCGTAGGTCAATGATGAGAATCCATAATAAGGAATAATAATAATAATAAGGAACGCATTTGAAAATGCGTGTGCGCGGGAACGTTCGTTTCGTTTCGAATTATGAAACCAGGATAACCAACACACATTCTTCTAATGTCCTCTTCTTCTTCTTCTTCTTCTTCTTCTTCTTCTTCTCTTTCTTTTTCAATACGACGATGATTGGTATTGCTACGTGTTTCTTCGATTTATATTCTTGACGATAATTCTTCTATCCATTTCTAAAGAATCCATGTCATTTTCTAGATTTCCTTTTTCCTTTACGCAGTTGAAAACATAATCTTCGTATTCCGAAGTAATTTACTTTATGTTGCAACGACGAACCTCGCTATGATCACCGTCACAATACTAATGAGAACTGATCCGCTGGCAATGCTACGCGATCCAGAATCCATGCGATCTTGATTGGACGACGTCACGAATTGTTCGTCTATTCCTCCTGTTGATTATTGAAGGAAAAAGAAATAATAGCGCGCTCATTCGTGCATTTATATCCACGTGCGATTTAATGAAGGATTTTGATTGGTTCGAAGGATGTGATCTAGGGGATAGTAATGAAGGGTGAGTTTGATCGATTATGATTGGCCGAGCCACGCGCAGCAAGAGGTCTCTCGCTTTCTTTCTGTCTCCCTCTCTGAGTATGCGCGCGCATCCGTGGCGCATGCGCAGGAACGCGCGCGAATAAACGTCGTTCAAAACGTTCGGATCGTTCTTACAATCGTGCTGTTTGGATTCGTTGTTGTTTGGAACTTATATATTTCTTTTCTTTTCGTGTGCGTGTATTATTTTTTGGTTTGCGATAGTTTTGGCACGTGTATCGCGATCGATTAACGTTGGCCGTTTTATCGATTCAGTTGCCGCTCACTTTTTCTCGAATCCGTTCGATCCGAGACGAAAGTTGTTGTCCTCTGGAAATATAGTATTTTCCGGGATTAATTTTTATCTTAATTAAAACTTTTGACTATAACGTAGTTGATTACTTTTTTCTTTTTTTTTTCTTAAAGTGTGCAAGTGCGCGCGAGCGCTTCGACAAATGGTTCGGTGGTTTTTATTTACATTGGCGTTTTGTACTTTCCTTCAAAATTTAAAACCAATTTCACGAATGAATTTTAATGAATAATGATTATTTTATGCGATTGACATTATGGTGTTTCGATCAAAGTATAACAAAATAGAATGGGTACAGTTACAAATTATAAGATCATTTTCCGATCTGTAATAATAAAAAATAATAATATTTTTGAAATATCGAATTTAAAAAAGAAAAAAAAATTCAGTACCATCTTGCTTCAATTATTTCGATTATTGTTCGTGATTGATCAAAGCAAGATGGCGGAAAGTACTCGATTTATATTGAAAAAAAAAAATTATGGCGGAAGAAAGAAGAACTCATTAGAAAAGAGTGATAATAAAAAAGTAAAGTAGTGGATAGAAGTTGAAAAGAAACAAAAAAACACATGCTGCGTAATGATTGATCCCGCTAAAACAAAACTACATTTTTGATTATCTTCTTTTTTTTTTTGGTTCACATGTAAAATTCGGCCTTTCACCACCATACGCAGTCGAAAGAAAATGATCGTGCAGAAAAAATAAATAATAAAGATCGTAACATACATATGAATGAAAAAATAAATAAAAATGAATAATGAATTAACGTGCAATATGAAGAAAATACGAAATGTGTGTACGAAGTGTGCGATGGTGCATAAAACCATAAAATACAAATAATTCAACGAACAAATAAACAAAAGGAAGTGAATAATCGTATAAAATAAATAAGTGAAATTGAGATATGACACGTGACCAAAAAAGTGAATTGTGATTGGTTAGAAGGAAATACAATATAGATTCTTCCCTGATAATATTAGTTCAAGTTCCAAACAACGTGACCGTCAACCGTTTATAAACAGGTGTTTAATATATATTTTTATATATATATATATTTTTTTAAACCATGCACCTTTTGATTTCACACACGTTTTGCTGCACATACGTAAGTAAGAAAAATATTTATATAATTTTGTTTTTTCCTTTATCGACCTCGTACTGTGATTTACTATGCCAATCCACCGTACATACACACATACGTGATATAGAACATTTCTAATATAGGACATACAAATAATACATGCATGTGTAGAAACACTTATGCAAATAATATATATACCAATAAATACGTGCATAGTAAATAAACGTAACTCGTGCCAATCAAATCGTTCGAATAACATACCTTTAAAAATTTCTATGATCGATCCTAACGATCAATCGAATTTACATAAATACTATTGGTTAGTTATGTTATGTTATTTTTGTAATAATAATTAACGTGCAATTAAAAAAAAAAAACACATATAAAAATAACCCACAACAAAGTATTACAATTTTTTGTTTTGTTATAAAAGAAAAGATTGCAAAGAGATAGAAAGCATGAGAAAGATGACCAAAAAAAAAAAAAACCATACGTAAATTTAGCATGCAATTCATAGACACATAGTGCATACCTCCTACAAGCATATCATTTTTGTACTTTTATAAAGAATATGAAAAATAAAAAAAGGAATAGAGTAAGCTGTTTAGAAGTTCCTTATGTCTAAAATATTTACTTTTTTTCCGGTACTGGATACGGCGACGATGACACATTGACGACATGATTTATATTAAAATTATCCTTAATTTTCTTTTCAGATAATTACGACAACAAGATTTTTTTTTTGCAATTTTTATCAAACAAATACGAGAGAAAAAAGAGAAAGATAGAATATCGAATGTTCGATTCGCCAACCTGGCTAATAAATACTTCGGGCTTTTATTGGGTTTTGAATTTTTGAATTTTTCTTTCAATAGGCCAAACCAAAATAATTTTATAGAAGGATCAAAAATCTTTACACGATTTCATGCAAATACTTCGATGATAAAATAATTTTGAAAAAAAGAAAGAAAGAGAAAAAAAATATTTATATATATATGTATATATTCTTTCGATGAATTTAAA